GGTTCCGAAAATCGTCCGAACTTAAATTACAGAGAAAAAAGCCTGGCACGGATCGTCTGCAGGGACTCTGTATCACGATTGATCTTAATGATTGTGTAACCGAACGAAACGCTGATTGGCCGTTGACATAACGAGCGGCGGGAAATCGGCGTGGACAGTGAAAATTAATGCAGCATTTTCCCGTACTTTAAATCGTGGAATAATCCACTAAATTTGAATTTTTCCCGCCACCCGGTCAACGAGAGGAAAACCAATCGCTTACTTTTCCGCGCTCAACGCTAATTGGCCGTTGCACTAAACGATCGGCGCGGTGGGAAATCTGCGCGGGCATTGTAAGCAGCATTTTCCCGTGCTTTTGGATGCGAGTTGTATGACCTCTCCTGAAATAAATCGTTCATAGTTGCCTAAATTAAACACGCAGCCTCGTGGATCGTAAACCTCGTGGGAAGTCGTGAAATATTTAATGAAATTTGAATTTTTCCCGCCACCCGGTCAACGAGAGGAAAACCAATCGCTTACTTTCCCGCGCTCAACGCTAATTGGCCGTTGCACTAAACGATCGGCGCGGCGGGAAATCTGCGCGGGCATTGAGAGCAGCATTTTCCCGTGCTTTTGGATGCGAGTTGTATGACCTCTCCTGAAATAAATCGTTCATAGTTGCCTAAATTAAACACGCAGCCTCGTGGATCGTAAACCTCGTGGGAAGTCGTGAAATATTCAATGAAATTTGAATTTTGCCCGCCACCTGGTCAACGGAAGGTCCACGAATCACTTACTTTCCCGGCCTCAACGCTGATTGGCCGTTGCACGAACGATCGGCGCGGCGGGAAATCTGCGCAAACAGTGATGCCGCAATCACACGCTGAATGTGGCTTGAATATGGAAGTCATTGGCCCGATGCCTGCGACGATTCTCAGCGACCATCGGCTAATATCGGATTTTTCTGAACTATTCGAATAGATTTGATACACATTTGGATGTAAATAACTCGAATTGGTGAAATGTCAGCTGTTGAGCGCTGACTGTAGACTGCCACATTCAGCTGCCAAATTCAGCGTGTGATTGCGGCATGAAAATTGATGCAGCTCTTTCCCGTACTTAATTGGATGCGAGTTGTATGACCTCTCTTGAAATAAATCGTTCATGGTTTTCATAAACGCAGCTTCGTGTCGTGGAATATTATATGGATCGTATTCGATAGTGGTTCGATGTACCGTTTGGTTCAAAAAAATAGAACATAACCTCAAATCAAAATTTTCGAATTTAATTCGGAAAATTTGAAAATAAGAAAATTCCCAACAATTTCACTTCTTATTGTCATTTGATACTCGAAAGAATAAAATTTCGATCACAAAGGACCCGTTACATTATTAGATATATTACAGATTTCTAAATTGACTTTTGAGGCATGTTCATGTTTTGAACCAATCGATATTGATACAATCTCACCTGTTGATGTATCGAATACGATCTATAGGCGGATTCAGACGCAAACACACACATACACGCACCCTCACGAACGCGAGGGGCGAAAGGAAGGTCCGATCCCTCTCCGGGGGTCATTTCCTTGAAAATTTTTGCAATTATAAAGCACCCAAAATGCAATTTGAGTAATTTCATCATGAATAATTATCAAATATAAGCGTCCCTCCTTCTTCTGTTCTTCGTAAAGACTTCATTCTTTTTGCATTCCTTTTTTTTTCTTCGTCCTTTTTTTCGGACGGGAGGCGTACGCTCCTCCCCCTTTGATCCGCGAATGCTCGATACAACAATTCGTTCTCAATGGACACGCGTGTTGCAACTAACAAAATGGAAGGCATCTCGTTCGGTCGTACTGCCCCATAAAGCTGTGCGTGGAGCAGCATGTGGCGCGCCGTTACGCATATGCGGCAAGATGAATATAAACTCTGATAAAAAGAAAACAAGAGGACAGGAAAGGATATTTCCGCAACATTTTCATATATATCAAAATATTATAATTTGCGACCCACCGCCGCACAGTGGATCGAGTCAATAGGAGAGGTCGGCCAAAATTTGGAAACTTCAAATGTTTATAACTCCGTTTATACAAAACTTTGAAGTTCTAACAGTGGTTCCATTGGTTCTCTCGTGAAATTTTCTTCTAGAAGCACTCCTTAATGTTCAAAATGTGGCGATATAAATAAAAAAATTTGTAGTTTTAATAAAAAATTTCATGTTTGACCTTTCTAATTGACTCGATCTACTGTGAGCTGCACTGAGCTGTGACAGCGCATGTGGGCGTGAGTATGCTTCACGGGCCAGAATGGCCGGAGCGCCTTCAATTTGCCATAATGCAATACGGATGTCGACGTAGCACGAATAGTTGCATCAAGGCGTTATTACCAAAATAATCGTCATGTATGCACGAACAGCAGTATATTGAAGTGACTGAGGAAAAAGGCGTACCTATGAACACTTGAGCACTGTCAAATTCCCTCCCACTAAATATGAATCAAGTGAAAACCCGTAAGCTCTTATTGCTCAAATTTTCAGAGAATTTTTTGCACAATTTAATATACCTAATGATTCTGAAAATTTCGAGGAAATGCATTCCTAACTTTCCTCAAAAATTATGTTTCAAAAATCAGGAGAAATTTGGTTAACGTCTGGCTCTTCAAGAGGGCGTTTTTTCGTCGCGGCAAACTTGCTTCGGTGGCAGTCACGCCCGGCATGTTCGACACCTTGCTCAGATTTTTGGACGCTATATCACGACTGATTGCTACATCATAGTGTCAACAACAGTCTACTCCTCGAGTAAAATGAATTGATGAAATCGGACCTCAGAAAATAAAGAAAAAGATCGATTCAAGTTCTTTCTTTCAATCGAATAACTTCAAAGTGTTAACAGTCTTACCCTCAAATGCCCAAGACTTCATTTGGACTGCATTTTGCAATTTGGCACCATAAATCCTGGCTCTTCTGGAAAAACACTTAAGTGCATAGGGAAACTAATGGCACGTACGTTGTTTTTAAACCGGGCTAGAATTTATAGTTCCAAATTGCAAAATGCGTAGTCCATTTAAACCCAAAATCCTAAAGCAGGTCAAACAGACCCGTACTTCAATACACGTCGTTTTTTATCGTTTTTGGAGTATTATCTATGTTTTGGAGGGTATAAAAATTATATTTTTTGAAATTGTCACCTATTCGTGGCATACTGGCGCTTTCTCACCTTCTCACCTTCTCTTCAGCATCAATAAAAACCATCAAGTGAACGTGCCGAAGGAGGAGGGGTGCATAAGACGCGTTTACTTGTGTTGGGCACATTTTTTGTGGAAGCCCAGTCAACACTAGCAAACGTTCACGGAACTTTGCGCAAAAATTAATTTCCGTAAATTTATCTCTGTGACGAGGCCTTTCACTTATAAGAAAAGAACGAAAAAATTATGAAAGAATAAACATGAACGTGGTTCAATGATTTTGATTTCCGCCACCGCGCCAACTGCACTGTGTTTGGCGCAATGCGTGAGGTATCCCTACAGTCTTGTAGGCGCTACGCGTTTCACGCCGACCAGCCGACCGCTGCTGACCGCACTGTTTTTGACGCAATGCGTGAAGTATTCATGCAGTCTTTCAGGCACTATGAATTTCACGCCAACCGCTGCTGACCGCAATACGTTTGACGCAATGCGTGAAGTATTCATGGAGTCTTGTGGGCGCTAATATGTGTTTCATAATGAAAGGCGCTGTCTCTTGTATCGCCGAAAGACGAACAAATTAGAAATTACTATACTTTAACTCTCCGGAAATGATAGCATTTTCGCCTTTTCTCGTTTGTAATTTTTTTTCTAATCAGATTTTTTTTCTTGATACCTATATTTGAAAAAAATTACAACATTTGTCGCCCCCTAAATTTGCCGCCATGGGTCGCGGCCTATGTAGCCACCCCTTTAATCCGGCCCTGGGCGACGTTGAGGTTGACTCTTTTTGACGCCTGTGACGCATCTTTTGATGGGTAGTCATCAAAGAATAGTTCCCTGCCACGACGCAACTTTCGCCAAAGTACCAATTTTTAGGCGATTGAACGGACTCCTTTAAATGAAATATATTGCAACATATTTGACATAGGTTCCAATTTCGTATGAATCACTGAAAAAAAAAATCTTGAGATATCATTTTAACTTAAGCGTCGTTTCTTTTTGAAAATGTTTTTAAATTAAATTCGTGCGCGTCTAACTTAAAGTCAGTTTTTTTTTTAGTTAAAGACATGTTGTTTCGCTATCGTTTTTTAAACTTTAAACTTAACAATAATAAAAATGACGCTTCTTTAACATAAAAAACTGATTTTGAGTTGAATCCGCACATGTTTGACTAAAAAAGAAAAAAAGAAAAAAATTATCGACAAGAAGAGGCTACACTTCAAGTCAAAATAATATCTCAAGAAATTTTTTCCCAGTGATTGCAAATTGTTTACCTTTCCCATACAGGAAACTCATTTTGTTGATCGTTTAAAATCGGCATTTAAAAATATTGCAATTTTACGGGAAAATTCTTTAAATTTTATTTCATTAATTTGCAAAATGATTCCAGTATTTACGCTCCATTGTGATACGCGGGCACACATCGCGATATCAAAATTGACGCCCGAAAGATACTTTGCATCCTACGCCTGTATGCAACTATTTATACCTACGGGGTATCTTTGTTGTAGAAACAAAAGAATTGAAAGCACCCTAGCTGCCATTTTGGATCCTTGCAGTGAAGCCTGCCGTTGTCGCTGCGCCGCAGGTGAAGTGGTAAGTGCCCGGTCAGTCAAAACGCCTTCACCTGAGTGTGTATGCGGCATGGACATCCATGAAGCCCGAATAGTTGCATCCAGGGGTTAAAATGATATTATTATATTGTTTCCCCCATCCTGTTGGACACTAACTAGGGCAGCTCTGTTTATTTCTCAAATTCTCTTACACCATAACTTAATTCCATCGTTATCTATGTTGCCAATGAAGCAAACTATCACTGATTTTTATCGCGACATCGTCACTTTTTCCGAATAATGTTTTGACTGTTTTAATACATAGAGACGTTGTCGTCTTAAAATAAGGGTTGCATTCCTACTCTCTCTGATGTAAGGAGGCCTAATACGGCGAATAAGTATCACGATCATTTCAGGAAAAATTCAAACGCATCTCAACATATTTGTAATTTTTTGCGCTGAAGTGCTAAAAAAAAGTCCCGTCAGATGTACCTAAATCAACCTATAAGTAGTTAAATCAGAGCCCGGTGCGGCAGGACCCAGAGCCTGTAAAAAATATGTATTACGTCACTGATTCCTTCAGGATCATCGAATCAGAGCACAGTGAACCGAGTTTATAAAATAACTAACCAATGATGAAGTATTTAAATGAAGCTACTAGTTCTCGCATAAAATCTTAGGGTCTTACGATAATACTGCCGTGCTAAGTAATAACGCCGTGTAAGCCATCAGGCGCTGCCAAATTTCCCTGCGATAAGTCACAGATTACAGGAAAATTTGTGATTATTTCTCTTACAATTTTACAGAGGATTCCGTTTGTAATTGGATCTAAAAAGTCTGAACATTGTAAGGAGAAATATTCATAATTATCCTCGAAAGTAAACGTTTCATCAAAGGAAATTTGGCAACTCTCGAATGTTCATACGGCGTTCTTCCTTAGCACGGCAGAATAGCGGCGAGGCTCTGTTTGTTTCTTTTTAATCTTCCTTTTTTCCGGTTGAAAATGCAGATGTGGTCCTGCGAAACGCCCCGGGTTTTTAATTTTATGTTTTTCTTTTTGCGACCTTAGTCCCATTTTCAGTTGATTTTGTATGATCGTTTCGGGTCGATTAAGTTGTTTTTATTTTTTTTTAAAAATCTTAGGTATATTTTAGGATGGACCGGTTAATAACATGGTAATTTTTCCGAGGTATTGAAGCGCAAGTTCCAATGTCAGCACAGTCGATTAGATACTCTATTTTAGAGTTGAACTTGTTTACATCCGACAAATTTTGTTTCAATATAAATAAAAATGACACATGGCTATGTGTATGAATTTGGAAGAAAAATGAAAAGGAAATAATGAAAGAATGAAAAGGTAAAAATAGAAATTACATCACATGAGCAGTCCTACCTCGCTTGAGTATGGAGCTTGGTCCATCCAGAATGGGATGTTCTGAGTAGCCTCCCACATGAAATTTATTTTTGCCGCTCGGACGTAGGTTATAAAGGGGGCCTCCCTCGACAAACTTTCTCAGTTTCTGCATTTTATTTTTCGCCCCCGGTGAATTGTGTCTTTGAGGTTCCGAACGAAAATACAAAATGTCTCTCGAACGTGCAGTTAGAGCAAAGGTAATTTTTGCCCACCCCTTTTCTGCTATTTTTCCTCTGGTGTCCTCCAAAAAAGTGAATTCTCTTCCAAATCAGTGATGCTCTGTGAAGTGATATGTTGGAAATTTTTGAGCGGTTCAATTCCTTTCACTTCCTTGTCAAAAATTTGAGTCTTAATCCTCTTTCGTGGCTCATTAGTGATTTTTTTTTTTTTTTTTTTTTTTTTTTAAAAAAACAAAAAAAGTTACCTTTTTTCGAGTTATTGAATAATTCGCGTTGTGTCGGTCAGTCACCACCAAACTTACACCAGGACGCTCAAATTCGGGACCTCACCGGATCACTGTAAAGAAAAGTGTAACAAGGGTCAATACAATACTTACGCCAAGTGATTCTAATACAAGCGTTTTTTTTAACGGAAAGTCAAAACATACGGTTTTCTATTAGAACTTCCCGCGAGCAAGTTATTTCCGATTGCATCGTCGAAATTCCTAAAAACTCTTGTGAAAAAAGATCACCATGATGATGATGAAACTGCAGAAATGCGTATCTCGGTTGGTGGCGTCAAAAGTTTCCTGTCATACTTTATTTTCTGCATGGAATACTATTGCACGTCATTTTTTTTAAATTTCTGTGATTTATTTTCTCTTTATAAAGAATATTTTGTGAAAACTTCAAGCCTTGGTGTTGATTCGATCTCCTTTTGAAAAAATAAAATGGAGCAGATATTTCGAAACACCACAACCGAGATACGCGTTTTTGCAGTTTCACCGTCGAGTGGAAATACGAAAAAACTGTATGGAGATACGAAAAGTGTTTGTATTCTTTGAGCGGGTCTATTATTCAAGGGACCAACCATGAAGTCCAACAATTTTTTAATGTACAATTTTTTTTTCGTTGAGAACGAGCCAGCCTCATTGCTATAAATTTATGGAAAAGATTGTCTATTTCAAATTTCTTTTTTTTGGACCCATGTCTCTATTGGCAGACTACTTATTTGCACATCTCTTCGTTAAAAGCAGTGATTTTTGAGGATAAAAGAAATAAAAAAGGGACCAACAACCGATGAATACTTAGTGCATTGTTGCACCACGTGATCACCTTCAGCTCGGGAAAATTGTATGCAAAAACACGTCTTGCAAATATGAGGAGCGATGAAAGAAAAAAAAAACGATGAGATTATTCCTGTTTGCAGCGCATTGTGCATTAACTCTTTTTCTCAAACAAACTTCAAAGAGTTTAGAACTCTAATTTATTTCAATCCCTCCGTGTTTTGGGAAACCTCCCCCAGTAAAAGTGAGTCAGCCTGACGTCAGGTTATGTTTCATAAAATACCCTGAGTCTGACTGATTCAGGTTGACATCAGTCTGACATCAGCCTGAATCAGTCTGACTCAGGGTAGTTTATGAAGCACAGCCTGATGTCAGACTGATTCACTTTTACTAGGGATCCGCCTTCATTTTATAAAGTATGCAACTACCGTCCTCTTTATGTCAAATTCGTGACATCCAGGGGACACAACCTGCACTAATTCCCAGCTATTGATAGGTTCTTCTTATATCATTTATTGATGGCTGTAGACCTACAAAAACTACGTACTCATCTAGAGTCAGCTAAATGTTGTTAAATATGATTGATTTACTACATAATCATTTCAACTACTTTCAAATGCATGAAACAACCGGTGATGTCATTACAATGATGTACATATGAGATAATAACTCACATTTTTATTAAATTACTTCCATGCACTTTTTTCTCACTTTTTTTCTTATAATCGTGCAGAAAATAAGTTAAATCTCTCGCCTTTTCTCCATTCGATGCTGATCGAATGGGTCTTTAAACCATGAACGAATTTTGACTTTCGAATGCATTTTTCTTGAGTTAAATGACGCGTAGAACCCTATTATTTTCATACACGAAGCGTAGAAAGACGCAGAAGACTTAAGTCGCAGAAACCCGTGCTCGATTCTGTTTGGTGCCGGATGACACCATTCAGATCGGCGAAAAACCGGGGCGTTTTTTTGCGAAAAAGTTGCGCCTTTTGAACTGCGTATTTCTCGGTCTCTGAGTTACATCTTTGCGTTTGTAATGTGCGCACCGGCATGGCATGTCGAAATTATAACCTACGAATCAAAGAATCTAATCTCATTCATATTATCTGTAGTAAACAAGCAACAATTTCACATTGAAATACGCTTTTTTTATTCACCAAACATCAGTGGGAAATGGGAATAGATGACGATTTGACTGCCGCAGCACTTTACTGCCATCATTTTCCCGCAATTTCGGCGCGTTTGAAACGCGACGAAAATACTAACTGAATGAACACGGTGTTTTCACTTAAGACTCTACGGTAAAAGAGACAATCTTTCTCGACGAAGGTTTATCCAAAATTTCTGGGGTATTATACTATTTTCAATTTTAGCGGGGCCAGGCCCCGCCTGTCCCTTCCCCCTTTGCACGCCTATGAAAGCGGGCTTGTCTAGAATTTTGGCTCCAAACATTCGAAATCAATCACCACGCGCGTAATATACTCACCTTGTCACCTTCCGGCCAAAGTATCACAAGCGCCATGCAACGTTTCAAAATTTCCGCCGCCATTTAATTTTTTCACAGATAAATTCTTGGTTGAATCTGTTCGAAAATTTTACTGAATTTTATCGGCAGCACAAAGAAAATTCAGTGAAAGTTTCGGGCAGCTTCGTTGAACATTTATACCTGTAAAGAAATGAAATGGAGGCGGAAATGTTGAAACGTCGCATGGCGCTTGTGATACTTTGACCGGAAGATGACGATCAGGTACTTTCCGAATATTAAATGAAAAAGTGACCCATTGGATCAACTTCACAATGCAAGATCACAAGAACGCTCGAAATAAAATTTGATTGATTTGTTTGTTCCAGATCGCTTCCAAGCGGAACCCTCAGCAAGATCAAGAGGCCCAGGAGTGGATCGAATCTGTCCTAGGAACCAAATTCCCAAAGGGTGAATTGTACGAGGATGTTTTGAAAGACGGACAGGTCCTATGCCAGCTCATAAACAAACTGAAACCTGGAGCCGTGCCAAAAATCAATTCATCCGGTGGACAATTTAAGATGATGGAAAATATCAACAAGTAGGTTGAATCATTTCATAAAGTTAACACCCCGCATCACCAATCCTTTCTCTATATTTATATTTACTCGTTCCGTTGTTGCCGTTCGTGCGCTCTTACTCCGAAATTCTACGAGCAACACGATACGAATGGGAATTTCTTTTTCGAATAGGCAATCTGGCAACCCTGGACCCCTTTTTAGCAAGGTCTGTTATTTGCGTGAAACGAGAAATTTTATGGATTATAAATCATCCGAAACTCCGTTGGAGAACTTTTAGACTCGGAATGAAAATGAAACTAGGTTTTAAACAAATGGACAGTTTTAACTAGAATTAGCCTAACTGCATGGCATGTTGCCTAATTTCCTATGATATTTTTTTTCAACAGAAAATCAAGCTACATCCAGACTTAAAATTTTTTGAATATACGTATAATCATAATATAGCTATACAAAATTCACACAAATTTTCAGGAAATTGTAATATGCTGCTCAATTTTCTTTTGAAAAATAAAACGAGAGAGGAAATTTGGCAACGTGAGGTGCGGTTAGGCTTGAGGTTAGAGGCGTCAGTTAGGTACGTGATTACAGGGCCGTGTTTTGATACTCGATTCTTTCAAAATAATAAATGACTATTATTTGCCGTGCAGAATATCAAGAATGATTTGATCTGCCTAAAACACGACGAATGGCGAAATAAATCGCATTCATAACTACCTACTGCACTCTCTTCTCGTCTAAATGGTGATAAATAACAATTAAATCAATTGATTCCCGTGCAACAGTGGCAATACTACTTGAACCGCGTTTAGTAGAAAGTAACCAAGTTACATTAGTAAAAAAATTGGGCGATTTAATTTTTTACAAGAGTGCGGATTACTTTGAAAATTTTAAGGAATTGTCTTCGTACTATGCAGAAAATTCACTAAAATTTGAACAAAAATCCGCACAACCGTTTTCATGTAAGAAATTGAATTGCCCAGCCAAAGGCAATAGCCGGTGTGGCTTTGGCTCCTCTCTGCTTAACGCGGTCCAATTGTAGGGTGAGAGGAATCATACGGCAAATGAAATTATTATCATTAAAGGTGATCAATGGCGATTTTATACGCCAATTGTATTAGGGCCACAGTGTTTATTTTTCCCGCATTTGAAAATTCAAAATTACCTTAAATTGAATTTTTCTCAGCGGGATTCATTTTTAGAGCCCACACCTCCTTCAATGCTGGAGGAATGTTTGCATCGCTAAAAATGCGCCCAGGTGCAATTTCTCTGTTTGGATCTTAATTGCCGTGATCCAAAAACGTACAGAGATCTGATCTGTTCTCAATATATTATTTTTATAAAAACATTTCTCGTGGTAACGCTGAGACTATAATATACCTAGAGGCTACGTCCCCTGAACGTTTTGCGGTCCAACCTTCCCAGCCCCCCCCCCCCAAGCGCCTTGCAACTCTACAGAAAGTACATAGAGTCGTAATGTAAGTGGGAGAGCTGGCGCCACTTCAAAGCATTTTCTGGGTCCTGAATTCCGAGACTTCTGTGTGACGGCGGGCCTTTTTTTCGATACATGATCGATTGTTTGCGATACACGGGTCCCCGGCCATCCGATGTAAACATAGAGGATAGGAATTACCACGTGTTCCACACCGGCATTTTGGATCGAACATGTTTCGTAAAAGTGACCCGAGTTCGGCGCACACCGGGCTCGGAACTCGTCGAGCAGAACATGGCACCCATTTACATTACGACTCTATGTACTCTATGCAACTCTAGCGTTTTGGTTCACGCGTTTCCTCATGATTTTTTTTTGTGTTATAAAGTATACTAGTGAATTTTAGAGAACAATTTCTCGTTTTCTCTAATGGATTTTTCTGCGTCCAGTTTCCAGGCAGCCATCAAGGCATACGGAGTGAACGACGTTGACGTGTTCCAGACGGTCGATCTGTGGGAAAAGAAAGACATCGCTCAAGTGACCAACACGATCTTCGCTCTTGGCAGACAGGTAAAAAACTTCTAGCCGTCATTTTCCCACAACAATCAAGTGCTTTCAATGCGCTTTACATCAAAGTCTCAAACGCGGGGGAAGGGGGTATCCTCTTAAAATAGTACCTATTCCTCATGTCCCTAATTCGGCGCTTCTCTGACGTAAGGGCGTATCTCGATTTCCACGTGACCCCTGTGCTCCGTGTAACTCTATGCTTTCTAAGGCTCATGTGGAAGTAGAGTTACGCCCTTACGTCAGAGGAGCGACGAATTGTGGTGGAATTTTCCCATTTTATAATATTCTTGCCGTGCCTCTCCTGAAATTTTACGTAAAAATCGCATATCTACAAGTCTCATCCATGCTTTGGAGAATGATTAATTATTTTACTCGTGAAGGGAGAAAAACGCTGTTTGTATTTAAAAAATTGCCCGCTTTGATTTTTCTTTCTCTTTTCAAAATTAAATGGAAGCGTTTTTTTTTAAGTCACCTAATGAGATATCGACGGCCAAAGTGCGAAACCACGTAAGTGTCTCCCTCTTTGACGATGCAGACTACTTGTTCTGCTTTATTTTTTCTTTGGAAAATTAGTCAACGTAATTTCTTGATTTTCTTGATTTTTCCTCTCCGTTAGTAGAATATTTGTACATGAATTTCAAACTGTGAGATTGGCATATCTACTCGAGAAATAAAATAGGAGCGGACATTTTGAAATCCCGCAGTGGAATTACGTAAATTTGCAGTTTGGCCATCGATATGGGCCTGTTTCAACTCCCATTATCGATTTCTTAATTTCTTGAAAATTTCCTTGATTTTTCCTCTCTATTAGTAGTATATTCTATATGAATTTCAAAACTCGAGAAATAAAATAGGAGCGAAAATTATGAAACCCCGCGGTGGAAATACGTGGTTTTGCAGTTTGGCCAGCGATATGTGCTTGTTTCAACTTCCATAATCGATTTTGGTATCTCTTAAAGCGAATTTTATTTAGAGGCTCGGTACTAATTTTGCGCCCGAACCTCACAGCTGCCGTTTTATTCTTGTTCGGAACCTCCGACTCAGTAACTGACGAATCGCAACGCTGGTGCGTGATTCTGGTGCCATCTCGCGAGGTGGTCCTAAAAAAGGATCGATCTATCGAAAACCAACGGACCTGATTGGTCGAATCTGTTGGCAACTAGTGTTGATGGTCGATGAGACAAAACCGGGCAGAACTTCCAAAAGGGGTTACCCTTAAATAAAATTCGCTTTTAAGGTGATTCGATGAACGCCATATTTTGTGTCAGAACGGCATGCGATATATCGCATCAATTGGTTCCGTTGTTTCAGCTACTCGTCATTTTTCTCCAATTTTGAGATCGCAATTCTGTTGTCAAAACAGCAGCACTCAATTACCAATTTTAACAAAGAAATTCAACGTAATAAAGGCGTGGTTTTTTCAGAGAGAAAACATCGCATTCGATACTGATATCGAAACTGCACTCGAATGCGATATTTTCTCTTTAAAAAAATCACGCCTTCATTACGTTGAATTTCTTTGTTAAAATTGGTAAGTTAGTGCTTTAGTCTCCTGACAACAGAATTGCGATCTCAAAATTTGAGAAAAAGGACGAGTACCTGAAAAAATGGAACGAATTATATGCGATATATCGCATGCCGTTTTGACACAAAATATGACGTCCATTGAATCACCTCAAGAGGTAATTTCTTGAATCTCTCATGATGCATAATTAATTAACTTTTTTTTAAACTTTTTGACACAGACCTACAAGGACCCAAACTGGAGCGGACCCTACTTGGGACCAAAACCCGCCGACGAGAACAAACGGGACTTCGACGAAGAGACTCTGGCCGCCGGCAAAACGATCATCGGTCTCCAGGCTGGTTCAAACAAGGGCGCCACACAATCCGGCCAAAACATCGGCGCCTCCCGCAAAATCCTCCTCGGAAAGTAAATTCATCGATTTTCCTCTTGGTCCCTGGCATCGATCGTCCAGCGAGACGCGAATTTTCACCGCGGGCAGCCGGCCGAGCCTCCAGGCGGCAGCGGCGTTGTAACTATCCATTTTATCATTTACACAATACTTTTTATACCATTTTTTGTTAACGTTTGTTCATACTTGACTGTTTGAAACTGTTTAGTGTATATCATGTGTCTTATCTTCAGTCTCTAAAATTTAAGTTTATTTTTTGTAAATAAATTTTGGTAAAACGAACCCGTCGAGGATTATTACTTTATTCAACCTCAATCTATCGCTGCTTTCTGTCCATTCATGAAAATATGAATCGCAAACTTTAATTTTTTTTTTTTTTTTTTTAAGTAAAAGTTTTCAAATGATGTCAAATATTCTTGTCTAAACGGTTTACTGACCCTACTACTTGAAACGTTGGCTATTAGCAAGTAAAATAATTTTTTCATATAACAAGTAGACAAAACACGGTTGTTTTTTCAGTGAATGTTTCATCGCTCAAGCGAATTTTGTTTCATGTAGCTTCCTCACCTGGATATAATATTATACCTACGCTAGCCTTTTGATTTTGACCAGTCTTTTCAGCTAGGAGGTAGGCAGCATGCTAACTTTTTCCTACGGAATGGGCTAAAAAATGAACCAAAAGCGAGAATCTGTTGAAGTTCGCCCTCCGCAAGCTTTGAGCAGTTTTGACAGGGAGTTAGCAGAATTTTTAGATAATAAAAAGTGAGAAGTGCTAAAAAAGGACACAAAAACTAAGTCTCCTGAGATATTTCAAAATGTCCCAAGAAGTTTTATTTTAATTTTTCAAAAAAGACATCGTGCCCATGAAATACGCAATATTGTAATGTGAGTACAAAGTGTAATCAGAAACGAATTCATGAAAGATTCTGCCAAATACCTCTTTTTTCTCGGAAGTAAGTAAAAAAAAATAAATAAATAAATAAATAAATGTCAATATTTTGAAGAGTAGATACATAAATTCTGCTTTTGCTGAGTTGTGCTTCTATTCTCTGATGTACCTGTGGCAAACATGCATTGCTGATTTCTCAGACCTTATGATTTTTTTGTTGGAGGAGGGCCGCATTTTGTTTTTAAAGCGGAGAAACAGTTGTGGCATTTAGTTTACTTTGTAATTTTATCACTCATACTGCAAAAACGCGCAGTCATTAAAATTAAGAGAGCTAAATATATTCTGCATAAAGTAAAAGACCATATATAGCAAACGAGAAAGATCTCTATTCCATTCAAATATAGTTTCTTTGGATTAGTTTTGATAATTTTGAGTCTACAATATGCACCTTTTACCTATGCCAAAGATCTTACGTCTGCTCAATGAAACTGGGAAACATGGGATTCGAGGTACGAGAAACTCAATAAACATTAATGCATCGTATTGGCACATCAGAGGTCAACAGACATAAATAAACATGTTAGTCAGATACAAGACAACGATATGTGTTGAAAAAATAAATCATAAAAGTAATCGTAAAAAAACAACTGTGATGTGGCAAATATGCACGTAAAGAATAATTACAGTGAGTAAGCTTTCATCACTTTAGTACCTTGATTACCTTACATTATTTTCAAGTATGAGCCATCTTTACATTGATCGCAAACTTTTATGCTTTTTTTTGTAGAAATTTTCAAGTGATATCGAATATTCTTGTCCAAACGGTTTACTGACCCTACTACTTACCTAAAAAGTTGGCTATTAGCAAGTAAAAGCGTTTTATCATATGATGAGAAGACAAACCACGGTTGTTTTTTATTAAGTGAATGCTTCATCGCTAAAGCGAATTTTGTTTCACGTAGTTTCATCACCTGAATATTATATTTAACGCTATTTAAGTTCAACCATTTGCATTTCAAAACCTCTAAGTTGAGTGATGCCTTAAATAAAGGTAGTAGCGAATGCAATTAAAATAAAAGAGCTCGACCGAAAAATTGCAGCAGCATAAAAACTGACCCGTATTCTGAGACCCGGTAAACATGAAATATTTCGAGGTTCAGCCTAAAAATAAAAGTTCTCGAAAGAAGAAGGACAAAGAGCCTCTGACCCGTATTTTTTGTGGAGACTCAACTTGACATGTTTTTGTGAGCGCCGAAACGTGCTTAAAGCAAGTGTGGGGTTCAAGGTGGAATCACTCTCTATTTTTAACTCGGAGCTTTCACAGTTTTTGGTTCTGAGTCATTTTCTGGCGGTGACGACGGTCACGTCACCTCATTTCTTCTAAACCGCAACCGAGGACGCTCATATAAATAAGATGACACTCGGTGCCATATTTTACACATTCTTTCATAACGCGATGCATTTCACGACCAGCACGGCGAGGAACTAAAGATATGGATTAGGGATTAAGCTTTGCTGAGCATAACATGAGTTAAGAATGAAATCGCTGAAAATTTAAAAACTCAAATTTTCCTTCCTTAATTGGACGCATTTCTGTCAAACGGAACTATGTGCATTATGACGTGAGCCCTGGTATGTATGTATTATAGGTCTCAGGGCTCATGTCTTAATGGACATAGTATCCGTTTGATAGAAATACGTCCAATTATTTGTGCGGACGACGTTTCGGACAGATAATTAAGTAAGGAAAGTTTCAGTTTTTTCAATTTTTAGCAATTTTCATTCTTAATTTAAGTGCACTTTCCTCGAGCCTTAGTTTCCTAGTTTTTTAGCCTTATTTTTATTATCATTATAACATACGTTGCTTTTGTTTAACCCTCTATGGCATGGTGTTACAAATCGACGGTACAACTCCCAAATCAATTATTTCGCTTGCGGTGTTTAAAAATCTCCGTTTCTGCATGATTTTTATGGAGGAGTTCAAATCAACATCATTCTTTGTAGTTTTTCCAGATTTTAATTCAACCAGATCAGAAAAATCACGGAATATTTTAGGAATTGACATTGAATAATTCTCCTTTTAAAGAAATATATTTTGGCAGGAAGTCTGCAGCGTCGGAAACCGAGGTACGTGGTATAGGAGTTTCATTATCGATAGTTGCAACTACGCATTTTTTGGTCGTTTAGAAATTGAATTATTCCTCCATGGCATGTATTGCAAATTATTATTAGAGTTTTTTTTTTTTTAAAATGATTACCAGCATTTCGAAATTTTGAGCGAAGTATTTGGGACCATGCTTTTACGAAGTTACAACAGAGATTTGTGTCCTACAGAATCCAAGATTCAAAATAATTACTTCACGCTACAGAGGGTTAAATCAGAAAATATGACCCCACCCACGATACAGTGTCTTTCTCATCTTAAATTTTCAGGTACTTGAAAATCAGTCCGTTGTCTTTTATACTCATTCATTTAACTGAGAATCATAATCTAAAATTTCAATCGATATTTTTTACGTTGAAAAATACTTTGGGACGGAAATGTTTAAACTTGACAAAGCAAGTGTGTATTTTCGGTCATTATATTCGACTGTGCACTCCACCATTCTTCAAAAAAGTCATACAATTATTTATGTATCAACCTAAGTAAGTGTTTGCGGGGTACCTACTGTATTTTAATGAGAGTATCTCTCGTTCGGTATACTTTCTTTAAGTTTGGGTAATTAATGTTTTGAAGGTTTCCCTGCTAAACGATTTTTTCCCTGCTACTACTTGCTGAAAGCAAGGATTTAATTTCTGGAAATAATTTTATCTTGGTATAGTAACTCTCAGCATGTCAACAAGAATTAAATTTGAAAGCAGAGACTTTGCACATTTTAAATGCACCGTTCAAGAGAAAATGAAGGTATATTCAGTTCGTTTAGCAAAACCTTTATTGATATGTTTGCAACTGTTACGTTAATAAACCCACCCTCTCCCCCCGGTGGGCAAATATTCTGAAGGGATGGAAAGATATCTTCAATCTGAGAGGTATTATACCGTGCAATCGAGCATGACCATGGGTAAATTACACATGTTGGTGCAATATTCTGCCGTTCTAAGGAAGAACGCCGTAGGGACCATCAGTTGTTGCCAAATTTCCTCAGGCGGATATCAAGAAATTTTGGGAAAATTTGTTGATCCATTTCCCCTGATTCATCAGAGAATTTTGTTCGTAATTTGATCTAAAGAGTCTGAAAATTTCAAGGAAAAGTATGTATAACTTTCTTCAAAAATATTTATTCTCTGAGAGGAAATCTGTTCACATGGCGTTTTTCTTCAGCATAGCAGCATTGCAATATGCTGAAAAATGATGTCATCCTCCTGGTGAAAGTTCAAGCATCAAAGTTCTACACATTCAGCTCAGTTGTCCAAATCCTTAAAACTGCTGTTTTTATCAGTAATGACAGTAAAATGTCGGGACCAGACAACCTGTCGCCACGGCACCTCTGCTCGAAAGTTTTTTCTGGCACCAATTTACGCTCGGGAAAGTTCGGACAGCATGAGCCAATGACCCGTAGCTTTCACAGGCGCGTACGGAGCAATTTATACATTTCCCCCTCAGATTACAAGGTCCAACACGCTTGTATCGGGCATTGGCGACCAACCAACCAACTGTTGCTCATTCGAGTGCAGTTATAGGAATCGTAGGTAATTGTCAATTAGCGAGCAGTTTCTTGATATTAAGATATCATCAGCGGTTGGAGAGATGATGAACCGAACGATTATACCACAATCTATTAATAACCAAGCGGCGATTTCCCTTTAATTTGCGCACATTATCATGACTCGTGATTAGTAGATCACACTCTTCTGAGCGCGATGTTCAGCCTCCCGCTGGATCTTACAGCCACTACGCTTTGGACATTTATAAGAATCAACTTAATTACACGAGGCTCAATTTTTTTTCCACTAGAAAATTATGCAACATTCTGCTTTGAAATTATGCGAGTGCATTTTACATACTCTGAGTACCTAAAATTCACGGCAAGTTTCAAGGCGTCACGCCGCTCAACTTCTCATTAAAATGGTATCAAATGGGGGAGAAGTTAAGCAACGGGATATGCACTCAGGGCATTTCTGATAATATTCGGCCACGCTATAGCGCCTTCAATGTTGCAGATGCAACACGCACATCTATCAAGTACGAATAGTTGTATGTCTGCGCCAGGGGCGGACTGGCCATGGGGGCGGGGAGGCGATCGCCTCCTAACATTTTGCCGTGGAGGTCCTGAAGGGGCCCCCGCGGCGATTTTTCTCGAGTCATTGTTTTTCCCCGTAATGTTGTAATTTTCCAGTATTTTTCAGTCACTACAAGGCCCCAAAATCTTTGAAAATTTGCCTCTAAGAAACA